GAAATATCAYTCCCCAATAGAAGGAGTATATACAAATATACAGCATATAAAGCASCTCTATATTCTCAGGAGGTGCTGTTCACACCACCTAAATTACAGGTTGTCAAGGTTATTGGTATAACAATAATGAAAAACAGAACCGTGACTTTCAATAGCAATAATTCAAATTAGATCTGACATTGCTGGCTGGAGTCTCAGAAAATCCCCTTATATCATTTCCAAAATAGTTATTTGTGCCTGCAAAATATGTGGCACATACAAAATTCATCCTGGTATAGCACAGTATAAAGATTTAATAGCATCTATTTSTGTAATGCAGCTATCCCCAGTCCAAGTCAGCTATAGCTATTAGCTATAATTTTTCTTTTCCTCCAAGGCATGACTAGTTTGAAGGATCAGGGTTGTCTCCATTTACAAGTGCTTACAATCCCAATAATATACATATGTTTAAAACATATTTTCAAGCATATCTGTATCATATTAAATGTGTGTGTGTCTAAACATGMGTATATGTATGTGTATACATGCTTAGGCTCAAGTAGAAGTTTGGTATTTTATGCCATCATTACAGATTTTTTTTTTTGAGAAAAGACTTTCTTGCCCTCTTCACACTTTGCTGATTCTTCCTGAATTACAATGATCTCATGATGATATTTGCATTAAGAGTCTTAAAGTCACTTTCTTGCTTTTTCCAACTCTAGGACAGAGTAGTTTGCCAAAGGCCAAAGGCTTTCTATCTAAAATCTCTTTAAAGATGGTTTGCAGGATGGAATTTTGCAAATAAATTCCTACCTCTTTTGCTCCTTTATAGTAYATAGAAAAGACAAGAAAACACAAAATTGGAGAGGACAGAATATTTTCTTGGTCWTACTTACACTAGCACATGCAAAAACTATTGAAATGCTAATGTCTCCGTGCTTGTGGAGTTTTAACCTTCCTTTCTCAACATCTCTGTTCAAATCCCAATGGTTCCTCTGTCAGTGCTCCTCTTCCCATCACAGCTTATCCCTTTGCTCAAAGTCAAGACTTTCCCCTGTTTAATTTTTCTTCTTTATCAATGTGCTGTCATTCTTCTGTTCCTTGCACAGGCTCTCAGCTCTATCCTCCCTTATTTCCCCCAGTCCTAGTATCCTGGCCTAGAGTCTCCCTCTCCATTCCCCTTGCCCAACTAATATGTCTTTGTCCCATTGCCTTTCCAGTCTGAACCCATCCTCCTTCAGCTTTCCCAAGATGTAATTTTCTTGCTCACGTAATCCCAGCATCCTATCCCTATTCTTTCAGGGTTGCTTATTTCCTGCCTCAATATTCACTGCTTTCCACCCCTCAGTCAGCATGTATGTTCTTAATATACATGCCTGCGCATCAGAAAAGAGTAAGGAACAGCAACAGATCTTTGCGATCAAAGGGCATGGTGCCTGTAGCCTCAGGTCCACCCAAGTCCAGGGCAGCAGAGGACTCGTGTGCCCTGCAGCCTCCAACTCTCTACTGTAACAGTAGCACGGATAGTGAGGAAATGCACTAGTCATAAATGTGTAAAGGGCTTTTTTTTGAAAGTTTTCGATTTTTCTGTAACACAAATTACAAGTCTGCTTGAGAACATGAAGGCACTTAAGCACCTAGAAGATAACAATCTCCACAGTATTTTATTCTAAACATCCAGGCTTTTCCTGATTTTTTCCTTAGCTCATGGTTGCTAGCATGAAAGTCACCCTAAACTTCAGCACTTAGAAAATTTCAAGCCAAGCAGCAGGAATTTAGCGAAGTGCTGAGTACACTTTAGCTTTACAAACTCATATACTGAGAAGTAGCAGAAAGCCCTATGGTAAGTATTGATATATTTCRGCTATAATTTATTACTAAATGCAAAATAGAATCTAAGCTAGCGGTATTAAGACCACATGTGTGTAAAGAAAAAAAAAGTGAAGGTCTTCATTTCTACCTTTAGTAGTATCCTCTGCAATTAGGCAGCACATGTTCCTCTGCTGAAAAGTCACAAGAGAGTGGGTGATTTTACGCTTCAGAGCTGCTCACAGAGCACAGCAGTGGCACAACTGTGGTAAAGGAAAAACACAGATTTACTCAAAATTTCCTTCCATTAACAGGCTTATACAGTCATTGATACGCTTTCAGCAAATATTTTTTTTAATCTAAAGATTACCTTATATAGTGGTACCTGATATATTTCCACAGTCTCAGTTAATTAGTTCAGAGGGCAAATGAGCATCTCCAATCACCCAGCTTACTGAACAGTGGTGACCGACCCCCTGGCACCTGAGGACCCGGCCCTTGGGAATGCTGCCCTTTGCTGGTTAGGAGACCTTCAATGACCTACTCCAGTAAAATATATTTCCATATTTTCCAGGAAATAGCAAAATATATTTTCTCCTCCCTGTTTTAATCTGGATTCCTAACAAATCTTAGCCAAGGCTCTCAAGTGTTTGCGTATTACTTATTGTAAGGACCAACCTACAGATGATGCTCAGAGGATTTACTCTGCCAATGGAGAAAGATCCCAGTTATTACCCTTCTGTGGCAATAACTCTGAGCTTTATCTTTGCATGCTGGGATGTTAAGGCCACACTTTTTATATTAAGCTGAATAAAGAGTGTTGCTATATATTAACCTTAGCTGCACCAAACATAATTGAACTCAATGGGGCTGCTGCCCTCTGTGTTTCAGCAGGACTTGACTTTGAAGACATAACAATTCAGTGGTTTACAAAGGCAGAAATAAACTTTCTTTATTATATAGCAAGTGCAGGTGCATTGCTATGATTGTAGACACTGGTATGATTCACCTTGAGATTTTAGTTATATCTTGCCAAGAGAAGCTATTATCAAGTCCCAAATGATCTACCAACACTGCTATCAATACGGTATTTAGAAGTTCCTTCCCTAGTGGGAACAAAAACATCGCTTTTCTTCCAATCTCGAAAATTAAATGCACAGTATTAGCGCCATCAATGAGGTGTTTAACTTCAAAATTGCCTTTCCTGGTGAGAATGAAAACACTACTTGTTCCCTTTTTAAAATTAACAGCAGTATTTTTCTCTCTTCCCTACAACATACACTTCTTTAATCAACCTGAGACACAGTATGTCTCTAGTGCACAAAGAGCATTGCAGGTATAAATCTCCTTGTGTCTAGGTGTGCACATGAATGACACTCAACGCTCCAGGGCTGGGATCTAACCTGTTTCCAATATGTTTCAGGCACACAATAATAAAGTAGAAAGAGTACGTTTGCAACAAGCAGGTAGGGGAGGAAAAAAATTCGATTTTGGTCTAAGTCATATTTATACCAAGAAAAAGGTTATGTATGTGATGCAGAAGAAGCATTACATTCTTTCTGCCCAAAATTAACAGTATAAGGCATCACTACCTCACATAACAGGTATGACTGTTTATGGCTAAAAATTGCTGTGGGACATGTCAGAAATGTGAAGGAAACTTCACAGTTTGATTGCAGACTTTCTGCCTTTTTCTTTCTTGCTCTATATACTAACTGAAAATTATAGCGAGTTTACCCATTCTCATCTGACTCATAACCACTCACTTACTATCACTAAATTATTCATAGTGTTATTGTAAGATGCAACACTGCAGGGGTTGAGCAGCAAAGTGAAGGCAAAGCATAAGGGGCAAAAATGCATTGGACAATGTTTTCTAGCTTAGCTTCCTAAGGAACACAGAGATACTTCAAGTTATACCACCCACCTCATTGTTACATGGCAATTTCTAAGGAATAAGATTCTTAAGTCACACGAGAAGAAACATCTCTTCCTTAAATCATAGAATTCTTAAGGTTGGAAGGGACCTTTAGAAATCATCTAGTCCAACCCCCCTGCACACGCAGGGTCATGCAATTACTTCATGATGACATGTAGACATTAATAAATGGAAACCCAAGCATACACAAACTTCTAATAAAAAAAAGGAAAAAAAAAAGACAACCATCCAACCAAAATAAACTCACCACAGTTATCTTGGGACAGCCCCTCAAGAATTGGAAATTCCCTCCTCTGAGGCACTGACTCTTCAAGAACCATCTTGGTAGACAGAAGCCCAGGATAGTTTTTGCAGTCTGTTTGATACTTTTTGAGAGAGAATTCTCCAGTTGTTTTTGCATGGAACTCATAGGCCAACTCATCCAAGGTAAACAAGGCCTGTGAGGTGCACAAGCAGCTCTGAACAGTTTTATTTGAGCTCTCCATAGCCAGAACCCCCCAGGTACTGATGCTTCCTCCAAAACGCAGCAACCTATTTCCCCATTTTCCTGTCATGTGCCAGGAAGGTACAAATGCGAATCTACCCCATCATCTTTGGCCTCAGCAAGACTGGAGTGAATCTGTGCATGCTATTATGAAACAGCAAAAGTAACATTTTTGTTTTTTTTTTTTTTTTACTGGACAGACTACAAGTTGGATAAATGAGATGCCTCTATGATTTCTTTTTCCCTAGTGCCCTCAAAATCAAAAAGCAGCATCAGAAGGATGGAGGAATGGGTGGTTTTACCACACACTRAAAGGTGCAGGGAGTCAGGCCAACAGCTCCCTGAACGAGCTCCTTAGGGCATGAGCCTGCCCGAGGCAGCGCGGCAGTTTGTGCGCTGCCTCCACGTGCGCACAGTGAAAAATGTCAAGCAGAAGGTACAGAATAAACCATAATATTAAAAAGGTGCGGTATATTCGTGTATCTGTGCAGGGCGCACACGGGGCACACGCGGGAGGCGCTGCAAGGCGCCGAAACACCCGCTACACTCGCCGCAAGCCCCGCCCTCCGCCAACCGCTGCCTAACGGTTCCCGAGCGACCGTTAGGGCGGGGCGGGGCGGGGCGCGCGCTCTCGCCCCTCCCCCTTGTCAGCCCCTCCCCGCGCCGGTGGCGCGGGCGCGCGCCGGCTGTGAGGTCATCGCGCGCGGCCGGAAGGGAGGYGCGGGGCGGTTGTTTCCGTTGCTGGCGGAGGGGACGGGAGCCGCGCGCCGGGCGGGGCGGGCCGCGGCCATGGCGGGCAAGGCGGCGGCGGCGGCCGCCATGGCGGGGGAGCCCGAGGGGCGCACGGCGGAGGAGGTGGCCTGGGCCGAGGGGCTGCGCGGCGCCTGCGAGCCCGAGCACCACTGGCGGCACCGGCGCGAGTTCCTGCTGCGCAATGTGGCGGCGCCGCCGCCGGCGGCGGGCAGCGCGGAGCTGCAGCGGCTCGTGTCGCTCTCCATGGTGTGGGCCAACCACGTCTTCCTGGGCTGCCGGTGAGTGCGGGCCGGGCGCGGGCCCGCCCCGGGGCGGCGGCGGCGGCGGCGGCGCGGCCTGGCTCACTGAGGGCGCCCTCGCCGCCCTCCCCTGTGCCCTTGTCGCCCCTGCAGGTACCCGCCGCAGGTCATGGGCAAAGCGCTGGACATGGCGGAAGGCATCCGAGTGAGCGGCGCGCCCGTCCGCACCACGAGAGACGAACTGGTTGCCAAGGTGAAGAAAAGACGCGTATCAAGTAGCAATGGTTAGCAGATCATAGCTGTGACAATACATAGGAGTCTAGAAAATGCTTGTTTCTGAATGTGTCCCCTCATATCTCAAAGAGTAATTGTGACAATTTGCTTTTAAATTCAGTTTACCTTTTTGTTGTTTTTTTTTTAATATTTCCYCTATCTATGCTATTTTCCACTTATTAATACCTATACAAATAGATGCAATATGTGCTTGCTATATTGGTAACTTAGAGCTATTGTTCCCATAACATGTTTTTGAATTTCTACAATTGCTGTGTTTTAAAATGATTTCCTAATGCCATGTAGACTTTAGTACTCCTGCTTAAATGTACTGTTGCTATCTCATTTTTACCACTAGTCAGACAATGTTTCTTTGTAAGAAAATTGGGTCTTCTGTTTCATAAAGAGATCCCTACCATGGTATTTTAAAGGGTTTTTATATCAGATGTACCTCATGATCATCAGATGTACCTCACTTTGATGTACCTCATGATGGTCCTTTCTGGACTGAACTTTAAGAAAACAAATCTATACATGCAGACAGGTCTCAGGCCAAACCTGGAGTCTTGCACCTGAGCACTTTTTAGTTCTTTATTTAAAAATGCAAAAATACTTGAAAATAGTGGGTTAATGCTCTCAAGTAGAATTCAGTATCTGTTCACCAAGGACTGAATTTATAGCCTCTAAATTGAGGGGCCTTACTCCTTATCTACATTCTGAAACTTTTGATCAACTGTCTCTAGATGGGTAGTTCATAGTGGAGGAACTAAAGAGGATAACATACTTGCTTTGTTTTGCAGAAGGGATAGAGGAGCCYTCCAAGAAACGAGCTATAGAGAAAAGCAAGGAATCTAAGGATACTGGAAAGGATGTGAAGACTACCAAGCCAGAAGCACCTAAGGAAACTGAAAGCATATTGCCAGAAAAGCAGGAAAAAGAAGCCAACAAGGATTCAGAAAGCTCCAACTTGCTTTGCAGTTCAAACCAGGAAGTGGGCGCAGCATTGGGCACTGAAACAGAAGGAAAACCTGCTAATGCTGAAAACGCCACTGAGCAAAATCTAGCCCCATCTCTGTCTGACACAGAGCCAGCAGAGAAGCCTTGCTTRAATCCCTCTCAGGAAAGCAAGTGTGAAAATGTGCCGTCACCTGAAAAGAAAGCTGCGTCGGGTGCAGTGCCGGCAGGTGCCCCACAGCCCAGTGTGGTTCCAGCGGCTGCTGCGGTTGTCTCGCAGCCCRGCACGRTGCCAGCGGCTGCTGCAGGTGCCCCACAGCCCGSCACGGTGCCAGCGGCTGCAGTGAGTGCCCCGCAGCCCAGCACGGTGCCTGTGGGTGCCCCGCAGCCCAGCGCAGTGCTGCCAGCTGCCGCAGGTGCCTCGCAGCCCAGTGCAATACCAACGGCTGCTGCAGGTGCCTCGCAGCCCAGCTTGGTGCCAGCAGCTGCTGCAGGTGCCTCGCAGCCCAGCTTGGTGCCAGCAGCTGCTGCAGGTGCCTCGCAGCCCAGCTCCGTGCCGGCGGCTGCCACGGGTGCCCCACAGCCCAGCACAGTGCCAACAGTTGCCAAGGGTGCCCCGCAGTCCAGCATGGTGCCAGGGGCTACCAAGAGTGCTGCGCAGGTGAGTGCTGCACCGCTGTCTTCCAAAAYCCAAACGAACATCCCATCAGGAGCCCCCAAGAGCGGCACCCAGGCAGGCGCCTCACTGCTGCTGGCCCCCAAGAGCAGTGCCCAGGCAGGCTCCTCGCTGCTGCTGGCATCCAAAAGTGGCACTCAGGCAGGCTCCTCACTGCTGCTAACATCCAAGGGTGGTTCCCAGGCAGGCTCCTCACTGCTACTGGCGCCCAAGGTCGGCACCCAGGCGGGCTCCTCGCTGCTGCTGGCCTCCAAGAGCAGCGCCAAGGCAGCCTCCTCGCTGCTGGCCTCCAAGAGCAGCGCCGAGGTGGCCGCGTCGCTGCTGGCTGCCCGCAGCGGCGCCCAGCAGGGCTCCTCACTGCTGGCCTCCAAGAGCAGTGCCCAGGTGGCCGCATCGTTGCTGGCCGCCCGCAGCGGTGCTCAGCAAGGGGCCTCGCGGGGCAGTGCACAGGCGGGTGCCTCACTCGGCACCAAGGGCGGTGCGCAGGCTGCCTCTGCGCAGCTCGGCGCCAAGGGTGGCGCGGCGGCGAGTGCCGGTCCTGCCAGAGCACTCTGCAAACCCCTCACCAGCGAGGATGCGAAGGAAAGGCAGCCTTTTTTCAACAGACTGTACAAAGCGGTAGCCTGGAAGCTGGTCGCTGTTGGGGGTTTCAGTCCTAATGTGAATCACGCAGAACTGCTGAACTCGTCTATTCAGTCTGTGAAAGCTACTTTAGATGTTGCTTTTGTTCCACTGAAGGAACTTGCTGACTTACCTCAGAATAAGAGCTCTCTGGAAAATATAGTTTGTGAACTGAGGTGCAAGTCTGTCTATTTGGGTACTGGCTGTGGTAAAAGTATGGAAAATGCCAAAGCAGTCGCTTCGAGGGAAGCTTTAAAATTATTCCTCAAGAAGAAAGTTATTGTGAAGATATGTAAAAGAAAATACAAAGGAAGTGAAATTGAAGATTTGGTACTTCTGGATGAAGAATCAAAACCCTCAAATTTACCTCCAGCTCTAAGAAATCCGCGGGAGATCATATAGGCAAGAGTTGCTGTTTATACTGTGTATAGTATTTCAACACAAGAACTGAAGGTTGATTTTGTACTTTAAAAATGTAGGCTTCCAGATATTTTGTATTTCTTTCTCAATTTTGCAAGACAATTATATTACTTTCACTTGGTAGCAATTGTATAAAACTTGTCAGAGATGACAAGTGCTCATTTAAAGGTATGCCTTAATATCTAGCACACTAGTGTGCTGTTTTATTTGCAGAATAGCCTACCTAATTCTTCTATTTTTAATTAAACGAATTAAGGTACAATTTGCTGTTTAAAATCCAACAATTTTGTAGTTCTTACGATTTGATGGCAGTGTGCTCAATTGTCTACCATATTTTTTTTTTAGCTGCGTAGAAGTATGTATATAGGGACCATAATACTTGAATGATTGAAAAGTCTTTGAAAATTTCAATCAAAAAGTTGAATCATCCATTTCAGATGTGTTTCGCGTAATGTTYGCTATTCCTCTTAGTAGGAGAGAAAATAGTTGCTTGATTATTTCTATGAGAAGTTGTAACAGATAAAGGAAAAATGACCCTCACCTCCCGTTTAACATTATAGTAGAAGTTAGAGCCCATAAACATTACACTACCAAGCTGTCAATTAGCAGTCAAGTCACAGTGACTTTAGTCAGCAGAGTTCTGTCAGCAGATTTAACTTATTTTGTGAAATACCATTTACAGTTTGATTTTTTTCAAATAAACATGAATTTCTATATAAGCATATTTTGACTGCCACTAAAACTGAAACCTCTGGGATATGCTTTTATAGTACTTTTTCAGCTGTTAAATATTGTAGCCACTTCAGTAAGTTTTTGCAACACCTTCAGAAAAGCTTTAGTTGGAGTGGTTTCAAGGTGTCATCTCTCAAGGATGTGTTGATTCTTATTTGGATTTATAGTTGAATAGTGTAAAACTGATGAGTGGACATATTAAATAACTATTTCTACTTTTGTAACCTTTACCGAGAAGTAGATGAGCAAAATCAAGATGCTGCTGTCTTCTGGAGCCAGCAAGTGTATTGTAAGGACTTCACACTAATTGAGCCCTTCCTTTGCTCCATTTTCTCATGATGTTCACAATGGTTTTAAGCAAAGAAAGTAGTTTACCTTTTATTTACATTGTGCTTGAAATAACTGCACAAATTGCATGTTTAATATATTGGATAATGACATGTACTGGTAGAAATCATAATGTCTTCAGTGCTATTTTGCAACTATCTTGTCTAATTGCAGTAGTTAGTATCATTTAGTGGAGACCTTTCCCTTGGTTGACAGATTCATTGTTGAAGTGCTACAGGAATGAATAGGAATTCCTGAGATTTCAGTAGTATCAATGTCCACTTTGTTCCAGTTCTGTTGTGATTTAGGGACTAAAACACAACGGGCTTGTTGCACTGCACCGTTCCTGACTTAGGGCACTAGCGGCTACGCAGTCCGTAGCACCTTGGGTGYTCCACGTGCTTATGTTGTGCTTCTGGTCAGCAAGCTCCTGCCGCTCTCCACTGATGGTTTGTGCTTCTGTGCCCTCAGCCATCCTCATTCCAGGGGGTTTCGCAGGCATTCCCCGTCCGTATTGCTGGAACGTGACTCAACACTTGGAATGCAGCTTGCCAGACTGCTTCTTACACAGCCTCAGAGTTTGATCCTTGCTTCTAGCTCGGAGCAGGTTTCATGCTGTGTGTGGGAGCTGCAGTATCCATGCCAGGAGAGGTGAGACTGTTTTCAAATCCTCACCCTGCTGAGGTGGACGCACAGAATAACTTTTTCTGAAGGGCAGGAATTGTTCCATATGCCCCCTTGGTTTGGCTTTTCTGTTGGTTATTTGGGGCATCTCCTAATTTCTGGTTGAAAATTGCAGCGTGTCTTGCAATGTGAAAAATCCCTATTTCACATCTGTACAATGAGGCTAACAGTTATTTACTAATCCAAAGGGGTGTTAAGATAACTGTGTTAAAAGGCAGAGGTGCTAGAAAGTCTTTTTAAAGTCCTGAAAAACTTTTTTTTTTGAATGTTATTTTCTTAGCTGTTTGGTTGTGATTCATTAAAGGATGAGTGTAGCTACTCTTGCTATGAATTCTGAAATCAATGTGTCATTTTTATTTCATGCTCCACATGGGAAGTAGCTAAACAAGTAGAATCCAACATAGCAGTAAATAAGCATCAAGTGTTTGAGTGACTGAAAGTTGGTTAACATTTCATTATCACTAAAGGAAGAAGTCCTATAGACTGGCAGTGAAGATAAATGTTCCTTCAGTTCAGCTAGCCACGAGTTTTCTCGTTTCACTTGCGCATGGCATTTTACAAATTGGGATGCTGATATTCTTGTGCTGTACTGGCTAGAACAAATCCTCTAAAACTGCAGGTATGCAGAGTTAGCTGAGGGTGGTAAACGAAACTGAAAGAAAAACCCTATGACCTTGAATTTTGTGCAGGATTACAGGAAATACTGGCTTAAAATTAAATATGAATGCTGTCTCCTTTGAGGCTTTGTAAATGTGGCTAAGTATTGCTGGCTCATTACCGATGCCTGTCAAAATTCCTGCCCACAGTCATGTATAAATTCAGGTAGCTACCAGTAAAAGGAGGCTTATTTAGCCTCCAAACATGACAATTATTTCTGTGGTGGCACTTGGTCTAAACCCCACATTTCTGTTCTCTGTCACTCATAGAAGGGAGTGTTTTACTTGGTGAAGCAGGAAATGAAACATTGATCTAAATCACTGCTAATAGAATATAATTATTTTGCAGTTGCCAGAAGTGCAGGTGCCTCTGTTTTGTGCTGTTGTTGAGTAATCGCAGGGTGATTTTTAGCGCTCTGGAAATGAATTATTCCTCTCAAATGGGGAAAGGGAGAAAAATAGCAGAGTGGTGCAGCTAAGGCACTCAGTGAATCGGCCTTGCCCCTCAAGCGACCCTACAATGACTTGCCCAGCAATGGATTCACTGATCAGAGCACTAAACCGCACGGCCCCTCTTCTTTGGCCTTGAGACGTGAACTGCTCCCGTATGTTTGTGTCCGTGTTTAAAAGGACGTTTCCCAAGCAAAAGTATTTTTGCTGTAAATATTATGAATAAAGAAAAAGCGAGAGATAAAGGAAATTAGTATTTTCAGGTTCCAGAAAGCATGACGGGGGCCAGCAACGCCCGTGCGGCCCTGAACGCCGCCCAGCTGCGCCACGGCGCTCCCCGGCTCCCGGCCCGCGCGGAACAACCGTTGCCGCGGGGCAGGGAGCCGCCGGCGCCGCCCCCTCCGCCGCGTAACGGCCGTTCCGCCACCGCCTCCCCGCGCAGGCGCCCGCACCAACGGTCCCGGGGCGGGGCCACGGCGGTAATTTGCATAGCGCCCGCGCGAGGCGGCGCCGCGGCCGTTTGCCCCCGGCGGGGCAGGTCTCGCCCTCCCTGGAGCGCGGCCGGGGCCGGCGGCGGCTTGCCCGGCTCGGGGCACCCCGAGCGGACACGGCCGGGGCGGCTGCCGCTCTCGCCCTAACCACGGTGCAGCGGCGGCGGCGGCGCCATATAAGTGTCGCGGGCGCCGCTTGGCGGGCGGGTTGCGCTGAAGACCTGCTCTCTAGGCCACGCACGGAGGACGCGCGTTCCTCGCGGGCCCCGCGCCCGCCTAGGGGAAAGTCCCCGGACGCGCCGGCAGAGAGTGCCGCGCGCCGCCGGCGCCGCCCGCCCGCCCCGCAGCCTCACGCAGCGCCGCCGAGACGCCCGCCGGGCCGAGCGGGTGAGCGGGGGCGGGCCCTCGTCACGGCCACAGGCACGCAGGTAGTGCGCGTGCGCACCAACACAACGGGGCTCACTCTCAGCGCCGCCCATTTTGCCCGCGAAATCCTCGTGCGCTCGGCTCGGGGGAAGTAAGGATAAAAAGAGTTCTGTGGTGTTCCCTGAGACACGAGGATTTCATCTCGACACAGAAAATCCCCCCAAGAGCTCGTCCCTCTGGAGCAGATGTACCACCCCAAGCACACTCTGAAACTACACGGCTTGTGTGTGACCGGTGTGGGTTTTTGCACCCTTTAAAAGCTTGCACTCTTGCATCTGGACAACTCMTGCTGCTTTTGTCTGTATGGGAACCAAAATCTTTCACCTGTAATTATGGTTAAATGCAAGCTTTTAGATTTTTTGGTAGAAAAAGGTATGTCTGAAACCTCCAGATGACATTGGGAGACCTATTGTGTTACTGTCCAGGAACTAAGGGAAAAATGTACACATCTAAGGAGTTCTGGTAACAAAATTGATATATTCTTTTTCTTTACCTTGGGTAATCACTGGAAAGATCTATTCCTTGTCTGCTTGTTCCAGTTGCAAGCTGCAGAGAAAACAACAACAACATCTGCTTTGTAGAATATATTTCTGAGCATCTGTTTACTGAAATGATACTGAAATGTATATTTTTACATACCCATGTTTTGCAAATTTTAAAATATACTCACTTTTTATCCGATTAAGAACAATTAACTTGTCCACCCTCTAAATGTTTTGTTACTTGGCACAACCACAAGAAATGTATTTCTATTGGCCAGGGTTTGTGTTTTTAAGAAAATATTTAGTCATTTCTGTTTGTTACACCTTCACACACACCCCAATACCCTAAGTCCRCTGTCAGAAATATCAGTTAGACTACGTTATGATTTATTTCACTTTCATTCCTTGCATGAATTTAAAACCATGTGATTTCAAGGAACGCTCGCGAGGGTTTTAASGAACACCTAGGCGCGACTGCAGGAGCGACCTCGGAGACCTGCTAATGAAAGAACTGCCTGGACGGAGCATTAGCAGCACCTGGACGTGAGCAGTCACTCCAAGGCTGTCCTTTAATAAATGAACGCAGGAGCTTCCACTTGTGCTTAGGGCACACCCAAATAATTATTTAGAAGCTCAGGTTTTATATTGGCGGTTGTCAATATTTTCAAATACGCTGAAGGGTAATTTGAAAAGAGCACGTGGTACTTTGCGGTCGTAGCTGTCTACTGCTAAGGCAATGCAAGGCTGGCCTTCGGTGTTTCCAACTAGGTTTTTTTTCTTCCAGTAATATTCTTGCAACTGAAACTGAACTGTTCAACCCTGACATGTGAAACTACAGCCTTTTAAAGAACTGTCATTCAGAGTCAAGTAACATTGAGAGTAAGGCTCAAGTGAACTGCAAAACTACTTCTGGTGTTTTGTATTTTCACTGCAGTTTAAGAGAAAGACTAAATTCAGTTAAATGTTGCCAATATTTTGACAACAGCCTTCCAACAAAAAATCTTTCCTTAGTTTGTAACAAATGCCATGTGTTATTTTATTATTTTTGGAAAGGGGAGAGATGAGAAGCTGGGAAGGTATGTTGCTTAAACAATACTTTTCCCAGTCAGAACTGAATAATAAAGCAAATATAGACTTTGTCAGTTCTTGAAGGGAATGTGTATATCAGTTATATGTTAGTATAGAATAATAATCAGCCTTGGTAATTTGAAGTTAGTTGTGTCACTGAAAATTTGCATAGCAACAGCATCATCCCTAAGAAAAACTGTCTGCAATTTGGTGCTACAGAAATATTTTGAAGGTAGGAAATTGTTCTTTGGTATTGTTTGCAGTGACTTTTCAATTGCAGTAGGGATAAATGATTYGTACTAGGTTTGAATAAGCAGTTTCCAAAACAGGAAAGAAAATCTCAATAACAAGGAAATTAAATGAGGCTTGGTTTTGGTGTAGAGTTTTAACAAAGCACACTTAGAGCTGCCAAAACCTCTCCATAGCTTTTTGGGAGGATAGCTGTAACATATGAAATTCATAAATGCTAACTATGGGATTGTAATTACCACATTTCAGAACAGAGAGGAGAAATATTTTCATTGCCATCTCAGACAACAAATCTAGGCTCCCTCTTTGGTCAACACTGACACTTCTAGGGCAAGACATTTCCGCTAAGGTTCTCTCAGCCTTAACTATAGATAGCTGTTTGGTCTGATGAATCCTGCTCTTATGCTCTCTGTTTAGGGCTCAGTAGGAAGCGCTTGGTCCTTTTTAGAGTTACCTGGATTTGTCTGTTGACTTGAGGAGAAGAAAAGCTTCAGGTGAAACAATAGGACGACTGTCACATGTTTGCACAAGGTTAAATCACCTGCCTTACCTAAACATCATCTGGCATGGTGGCTGCCTCTGGAGCCTAAAAGTGACTATGCTTTAAAGCAGCAGGTAGAGGAGTCACTAGCTAAAAGATATTTCCTGACAGTTCTTGAAATGGGATGGAAAGAGGGGCACGCTGCACCAGGCCCTGCGTGGATACATCCCCATGGTGAACAAAGAGCAAGTACTCCTCTTGCAGTAACAGGACCTCATTTCACATRGATTTGGGGGTCAGCTACAAAGCTCGCTCAGGCAGGGCTCGGAATGGGTTCCTGGATGTTGAGCTTGCAGCTGCCACCTTGCAGGCTGAGGCAAATGTCCTTGACTCCCGCCCTTCCCAAGCTCCGTGTCCAGCAGCAGGGTCGATCCAGGAGATCCTGCCCTGCAGCTGGAGGGTGGTCCCCCCTCCTGCTGCTCCTAGGTCAGACTTCTCCATGACATCTGTGAGAAGTCAGGGTTATTCCGGTTATTCCCCAGGTTCCCCCAAGGGAGCAGTCTGAACCAAAGCTGTGCTCTCACAAAGCAGCAGTGTGGTTCTGCTCAAAACAAAGTGGCAGTTTCAGTATGCCTTAAACGAAGTAATGATGTTGTATTAAACTGAATTCCTTAGCATCCCCCTCTTAGGCCTATCAACATCTCAAAACATTTGTGCATAAAGGTATGGATTTAGAGTTTGGTAAAAATAAAATCTGCAAAAAATAAATGAATGCTCATTATGAAGCAAAGCATGATATATGCTTAGTTTACACACTTAATCACAGTTTAACTCTTCTCACAGTGAGATAAATAGAACCAATTTGGAGAAAAAGATAAGCTGYGTGTTACTTCTGTCTTCTTCCTCCTGTTAATATAACTTGAATGATCATTAATTCAGGCTCAGGAAGAAATTTTCTCTTCGAGCATAAAAGCAGAAAGCTTGGAAATTCTCCAGAACATTAAGCAGATACTTGCATTCAGATGAGGAAGAACATACGTCTCCTGATGAGGCGGATGTTTGTCACTTTGTGCTGTAGAGCTCTTTGGTACGAATTCCATTTGCACTGAGTGTGGGGCTGGCTGGGAAGATACATGCCAGTGTTTTCAGGAAATGCACTGATTCAGTTTGTGTCCATATTAAGAGGATGGTATCCATATCTAATTTTTAACTGCTCGACATTTGCACAAATGAAAGAGGAAAAGTAATACTGGTGGCTTCCATTATTCCACCAAGTAATCAAGCCTACTTTTTAAGGAAAGTCCAGAGGTATCTATATCTGATGTTACAGGAAAGCACACTTTTTGGACAATCCAGTCTTACATTTGTTCAAAACCAGCTTTCCTGTACAAATGCACTATCTCTGTAGGAYTGGCAAGGAAAGCCTTTTCCTGGAATTTTACCTGATCTAAGATCAACCATGGCCTTTCTATACAGCCTTTCTATGGCCTACAGCTTTCTGCAGCTGCCCCTCTAAAAAGTCCCTTTAGCATGCACATATTCTTTTTTTTTCAGTATCTTAGAATTCTTCCTCCCATGGAAAGCAAAGGTGCAGAGCTGCCAAGAAATGTATGCAGTCAAAAATAATTGTGTTCATTTGCTGAAATCAAACCAGCTGTTATTATCCTTTGAATATTGTCACTAAATGCTAAGTAGGTTTTACATAATTATGGCCCCTTGTGGACTTGTCTTCAATCAATAATGCTCATTTTCAATATTTTTTTTCTACAGATTGGAACTCAGTAACAATAGAAAGCTGGGAGAAAAATAAAAGAGARAAAAAAAAGAGCTTTTACACTATTGCATGAAACAAGGCAGGAATCACCTGAGATATGAGGTTGTAAAAATCAGAATTACTATAGGTGAAATAGGGACAAAACTGCTAATTGATTTTTAGAGCTTGGCAAGCTTCCTTGGTATCAGCAGGGCCTCTTATTTAACCTAGGAGCCTTCTGCCTGTCTGTGTCTACAAATAGTAACTACCTACAAAAACCAGTTTTGCTCTACTATACCTTTCTTATCACCAGATTATTCTCCTTTCTCGCCAGAAGAAATCTGTGAGGTTCAGCTTTGYCATACGATTAGCCGTGGAGCCATCTGGAACAGATTATATAGTCACAGGGTCGGCTTCACTGTCAGGTCAAGTTATGCAGTCTTTGTCCAGCCCGGCTCTGAAAACCTCTGAGCACAGAGGCTATACAACCTGTGGGGAAACCTGTGAGGGTTTCCCAACATCCTGCCTGGATCAACTCCATTTTGAAATGTTATCTGTAGGATTAATATGGGTATTCTTTTAATACCATTGACTTAACTTTTTGTAGGACTGTAAGAACATAAAGTAWTTATTTTTCTCCTTAAATTCAGTCATCTCTACTGTTTTTGCAAAGCTTGCAAGATCTGCTTCTTTCCTCACACTTGTTTTTTCCCTTCAGGTGCCTGAAATATAAATGCAACATTCTGCTAGGCATACAGGTCTCCTGGCCTGGGTCCAAGAACCAACAAGGGTTTTTTGTTTGTTTGTTTTCCCCTGATGCTCACCAATTATTATTCATGTTGTAAAAAACAGCATTAAGATGTCTGAAGGAGCAGAAGGGAAAAAAATCCTTGTGGCAATTAAAACTACTTGACACCATTTCCCCCCAGTTGTACTACAGCTAAAAAGTACATATATTTCCACTCGTCTTTCCAACTATATTTATTGTTGCCATCACTTGATAACAAATTCAGCACCAGCCTTGGGGGGAACAGGATACTCTGTCAAAACTGGAGGCTTGTTGGCAGGCAGGCCCGTTTAAAAAGGGTGAACTTCTTTGACGTCCTAGTTAGAATTCTCTCAAACGATTGCTCAGGATAAAATGTCGCTGAGCCTCCGTAGGTAATAGCTCACTGTGAATCATTGCTTTGCCCTTCCTGAAAGCTAAATAAGGTAGCTCCCAGTGCGGGCAAGAGCAGTCGAAGCTTCTTACAGCTCAAAGATATGGGGTAGGTGGGTGCCTCACCGTGTCAACTGCTACTAGCGGGGGAAAAAAAATTGTCTTTGGGGCACGCTCGGGTGTAAGGGAATCGGCACAAGCCTTTTTCCTGCGGGGCAGCCTGGCGCTCGCCGGTGCCTCAGGACGCTGCGCGCGGGGCAAACAGGGCCGCGCGGCGGCCGTTGGGCGCCGCGGCCGTTGGGAGGCCCCGCCCCCCCGCAACGGCCGCCCAACCGCCCCCGCCCACACGCGGCCGCCCCGGGGAGCCCCGGCAGCAGCAGCCGCGGGCAGCGGCCCCGCGCCGCCCCGGAGCCACGGGAGGAGGGAGGAAAGCGCGCGGCGTCTTTAAGAGCGGCGCCGCCCCCCTCGCGGGCGCCGCCCCCGCCCCGCGCCCGGGCCACTGGGAGCGGGCGAGGGCGGAAGGCGGGAGAATGCGAACGCCTCGCGGCGCCGCCAACCGCGCCTTATAAGGGCAGGGCGTCGCGCATGCGCGTAGCCTAGCGGCGAGGGGCGGGGGCTCCAAGTGGGTTTCGCTGCGGCGGCAGCGGCGCCG